CGTCGTGTAAAGCGTCATGCAGCTGTAACGGCTAATGAAGGCCCGTGGCTTACGTGCCGCGATTAATTCTGGCTCGATCTTATCCGTATTTTGTGTTCGTGTGATGGACTAAGGATAAATTAATTAGCCCTCTGAGCCCCATAGACATAGTATTTTGTTAAATACTAAACTGAGAGTGAATTGAGTATTATCCAATTACATTTATAAATGACATTTTACGGAGAAATTATATAAAGAATTTATACACATTTGCAATGTGTCGTGATCCACGACAGAATTAATAGCGTACAGTTAGATTCTCGAAGCGCAATTAATTTTAACGTACGACGTCACGACTGAGTCCTGAACTTTGTGCAAGGATATTTTTATTATTATTTTTCTTCCGCGATATTTTATTTCAGCGTGCAAACTTTTTTTAAAAGCGTTAAAATAAGAGAAAAAAACTGTATAATTGTCGCGCAGATAAGTATGTAAATTCGTTAAAGAACATTATCGAGAGATATGATGCATTTGTTACATTCTGACGGGTTCTCATATGCATAAGCTAATTCATATTTAACGAAAAGAGCTGCCGCGAAAAAATAGAGGATGAAAAATTTGCAAATAAAATAAAGCGATTATGCGAATCTCGCGGTTCGCGATAATGAGCAAAGTTTTTCGATTATATCTGACATGTGCACTTATCATAATTATGCAGTAACAGTCAGATAGTCAAATCTCTTATCTCCCATCGTGAAATATGAATATATAAAGCAAATGTATCGTTCATAAATATATATATTTTTGCCAAACAGATCGATCTCGAAGGCTCGAATATCCTAAGCAAAGCTTTCATCTTTCGTTCGTGTAAACTTACTCTTTTAATGCGAATGACTGCACCGTTATTAAACTTCGGAAATGGATGCAAATTATAATCGGATATAGCGTTTAAAAAGATGGGGATGCATCTGAACGATTCTACGTTTTTATACACCACGAAGAAGATTCTTTAAACAGAGGAGCGGTATTTTTTTAATAAAATCTTTTCGATTAATTCTTTCGTCAGAGTGCGTGGAATATAAATTGTACTAAAGAAGGGCTACATCGATAGTCCATTTAAATCCGTCTCTTAACATAAATTAGGTTGGAGGGTAGAACTATGCGTAGTCCAGGCTTAAGCCATCCCTTACCTCGGTAGTCAGTTAACTCTCTAAAGGATTAAATAGATCACTTAATCCTCTAGTCTAGTCATTCGATAAGAAACCTGTGTAATATTATTACATTCGATTTAAAGATTAAATCATTTGCTGAAATAATATTGTACATATTACAATCTTCTTATCACAAAAAATTAAATTATATTATAACGTAATTAAGAGGATTGACAGTTACGTTATACAGGATGTCTCAAAACTATCAGATGTCCTTTTAATAGCAGATTTTCTGATTAATTTTGAAATTATTTTTTTTTTTAGCAAAAATATCGAGGCATTAATAATTTCCAACTTGTAAGTGATTGAAGGAGAAGAGCTTTCCGCAAACTAAACTTTGCGAAGTTAAAAAGTTAATACAAAACTATATTCTTCAGTCAATTTCAAGTAAAGCTTGCTTGAATAGAATTTTAATTTAAGCTCAATTACAAAAATATATATGATAGGAAAAATTAGAAAAATAATGACCTCCCTCGACATTTTCGTTAAAAAGAATCGACTCTAAATTATCGGAGATATTCAAAGATAAAAATTTATCGAAGCTATTAAAAGATTTTCATAAGTTTTGGAGGGACACTTTATATAATATTAATTTACTAAAGATTATATTATTTTTCTTCTAAAACGATAATTAATTTTACAACAACCATCATTACCACAAATATCAAACATAACAAATCGCAAATTCGTTATATGAAAGTAAATAAGAAAATTTCCCCCTGTTTTTGCCGTACGGACAAACTCACCGATGATCGTCAATATTACGACGGTGCACGTATCGATCGAGATAATGAAAATTAGTCAATTACGTGTGCTTGCACAAGGAGAATAATCCTCCAATCGCGCGGTATACACAAGACGACGCGCAAATTTACCCTCGTCGAGATTTCCCGCTCAATTTCCAACGTTGCGTCGCAGTAGTTGTGACTTGTTAGTGGACGGACTGAAACACGCGCGCGTTTTTTTGCGCGAAAGGATCGCGCGACGTAACTCTGGTCGGCGGATAAACAAAGGAAGCATTTTTATCTCGCGACGCGAAACATCCAGACATACTCTGCGAGCATCGCGTCGTCCCCGATGGCGTAATCATTTAACGAACGCGTTGGAAAAATTCACGCTTGTTTATCACAAAGAAGCTGAACGCTAAGGCTGTCACAGATGTAGCCCGCGCAAGGTTTATAGAGAGAGAAAAAGAGAAAAGAGAGAAAGAGAGTGTTGTTTCTTGGATTTATTTATTTTTATTATAATTAAAAGTTAACTGTAATATATATTGTCGTTAAATTAATGAGATGAGTATAATAACAATAATCATGTTTTTCTCTTGTTTGTAGAGTTTTCTTTGTTTATAATAAGTGTCCCTTAATTAATCACTTCTGGGAACTTCTGATAACAGTTAACGAATACTCTCATTATCTCTCTTTTAATTATCTTATAATTAATTTTATTTTGCTAATGAAAAAAGTATTAATGTAATGTTACCTCTACAATTTATAGAAATGTGAAAAATAAATTATGTGCCATTGTTTGCGGAATACAAAATTAGTTTTGCTAGTTAAAAGAGAAATTAATTACGAGAAATTAAATTAATTTCTTAATATCCGAGGTACACGCTTTATATATGATTTTTCCGATGTCCAAGTCTATGTCCTTTCGTATCCCGCGTGTCCGAGAAATGTCATTCGTTTTCCCTCAATGTACCCCGCTCCGCGTCGTCGACGGGAAACTTTGTGCATCGTTGAGGGAAAGA